TTGATTTAGATATTTCTTCATTTACTAATTTATTTTAAATAGCATAATCTAGTAAGGAAATACTTACATTTAAAGGAGTCTTTAGTTCATGTGATAGAGAACATAAGATTTAGTTTTTATATATATTAAGTCCTTTTTTTTACATCATAATAGTTTAGTTTTTCATATCTTAAAATTCTATTAATATATACTTTTATATTTAAAATTCATAAAAAGTCTAAAAAACTCCAATTTTAATTTATAAATTCTCACATTTAGTTTAGTTTGTTTATAAATTAATTATTATATAATTTTATTCTATATAATAGTATACTTTATTAGCTTTTTTTGATTATTTTGATTTTTTTTGACCTTTAGTATTGTTATTATTATTGATATTAACAGAATTACCCAAAAATTTTTGAGACTAATTATTATCAAAATTAATTAAATTTTATAATAAATCTCCAATTTTACTTTAACTTTTTAATTTTTCAATAATAGAAGGCGCAATAAAGCATTTAGATTACTCTTAACTAAATAATAAGTACAAAAAGTTTTCCATATTTTTTTTTTAAAATGTATTTTAACAAGAATAATTAATTTATGCACTTTAACCATTTAATTAATGAATACTTTAATCATTATTTTAGGTTTATTCTTGTCCTTCATTTAATTTCAAATTATATATTTAATCAATTAAGCTTTCTTTACATTATAAGTTAAAAAAAGAGTTTAAATTATTATTTTAAAATAATATTTTTTATTTATTATTAATAATAACAATACCTGAATTCAATAAATTTAATAAATTCAAATATTTATTTTAATTATTATTTATTGAATTATCAATTGTAGTTTTTCCTTTATAATTTTTTAAAAAATCCATTTTTGCTCTTTTTTTAGTTTATTAAATTTCGCTAAAACCCAATTTATAGTCTTTAACCTAGTTATTCGAATTAATCATTTATTTTTCATCTGTAATAATCTAATTTTAGTTTTTTTTAGAAAGACTATTGTTATTAAATACACTATTCTTTAATTATTATATAGAAACATTTTAAGAAACCGAAATTTTATTTACTACTTTCTTATTTTAGAAAATAAAATAAAAGCAAATGCAAAAACTATCAATATAAACAAAATATTACTATATTAATCTATGTTTCTAAATATAATATAAACTAAAAAAACACTAAAAAATATAAGTTTTCTTTATTAATCTTCCAATAAATTTATAAATTAAAAAAACTTATTTTAAAAATTATGAAATGCATAAAATTTTAATCGTCTTTAACAAATAGCTCGAAAAAAATAATTGGTTAAATAAGCTATATAATCATTATTAGAATTCTTCGTTAATAAAAAAAATAATACAAATCAAACTCATTAAATTCAATGCTAACTATAATAATTAAAGAATAAAAATTATGTTATTTATATCAGATTTATTTATTGTATGAAATTATTAAATAAAAAAATGAATTTAAATAAATAAAATCAAACAAAATTATTAATATTTCAAAACTTATTAAGATTATATAATTGAAATTACTTTTTACATTATTAATAAATTATTTTAATAAAAAGCGAATAACTTAATATATTTAAATTATATTTTATTTTATGTTTTTTTTTGAAATAAAAAATAAATTATATTTTTTCTTTTTTGTTAAAATATAAAATAAAATATTATAAATAATATTAAATAGTATTTTTAATTTATATGGTGAAAACAAACAATTTATATAAAAATTTTTTTTTAATATAAATTTTAAATTATACTTAAAAAATTTAAGTATTAAATAGAAAATTGATACTTATAAAGATTATTGTTTAAAAAAATAAATTAATGAAATCAATATAATAAATATAAAAATAAATATATAAATATATAAATAAATAAATATATTTATATTTAAAACAATATATATTTATAAATATATATATTATTTATTAATTTTATTTTTTATTTTTTAATATTAGATATAATATTAATATTATTTTTTATACTATATATTTATTTTTAACATTTTTATAATTTGATCAATTATTATTAATTTTTTATATTTTTTTTTTTTATATTTCTTAATATCTTCAATTTTTAGAATTATTACATATTATTATAATTTTACATTAAATTTTTAAATTTTTTTTAATATTTAATATCTTTATAAACTCCTATTATATTATATTTAGTTTATTATAAAAAAATTAAGCTATATATTTTTTTTTAATAATAAATATATTTAAATATTTATAATATGATTATTTTTAAAAATGCATTATATTTAATAAACAAAATATTTATAATATTAAAGTATGTTATTTAATAGTTAAATATAATTAATATATAAATATAAATTAAATAATTTAAAAATTTTTATTTTTTATATGTATTGTAAGCATTATATGAATAATATAGATTTTTTTTAAAAAATATATATATTATATTTCATTAATTGTTATATTTTATATTTTATTTTTTTCTATTTTATTATATTTATTTATTTTATTTATTATTAATATTTTCGAATACTTTTTAAAAAAATTCATATATTATGTGTATTATAATATAAAAAAAAATATTTTTATATCTTTTTTTAAAGAAATATACTTATTAAAAAACATAAAATATAAAGAAATTAAAGTTATTAATTTAGTTAAAATCCATTTATTAAATATAATTAATAAAAAAAAAATATAATATTTT